TATATATATATATATTATATACCTCGCTGACAAAGTAGGTTTGGGGAGGTAAGCTTTTTTAGCATTTTTATGATACCACCTCATTATTATGTTTTTAGATATCCCATATTAAATTTTTATTTTTTATTTATAATCCTAACAAAAATAATTTAAATTTTAATAAAATTTCATTTTTTTTTAAAACAATATATAGATTTAATACATAAATATTATATTTATATTATTTATTTTAGTGTTTGGGTTGTTTATAAACCGAGTTGAAAAAAATTGTTCGTGTTTGGCTCATTTGCTTAACGAATGAATCAACCACGAATTACTTAGTGAGCCGAAGAAAAGCTGTTCTTGAAAAGCAAAATTGTTTGACAACCCTAACGATTTGGTAATTTTAATGGCTCACATGGGTTGCTTAAATTTTTGATAAGGAGGAAGTTCATATAGTTAAATAAAATTAATGGGCATAGCATTCAAATATTTAATATCATATGAAAAATAAGTATATATAAGCCAATGCAGGTAAATGTCATATAGATTTTAATTAAGTTGACACAACAAAAGACAAAACAAGCATTTAACAACAAATAACATGACAATCCATCATTGCATCACTTATCAAACCCGTAAGAAATCAATTAACAATGTTTTGGTTTGGTTTTGTTTGGGTTTTGGTGGTAGTGCAATATTGGTGGTATTACAGTGATATTGGGATATTATTGAGGTAGAATTGGTTTTTTCTTATTGGGGTTTTGAGGGTGCTGAAATGTTTGTGGTATTGAAATGGTATTGAAGTGGTGTTAGAGTGGGGTAGTATTGGAGTGTCATTGAGGTATTATAGGGGTGGTATTGTGGTAGTATTAGTTTGGTCTTATTGCGGTTTTAGGGGTGGTGCAATATTTGTGGTATTGGGATAGTATTAGGGTAGTATTGGTTTGATATTGTTGAGGTTTTAGTGGTGGTGCAATGTTTCTAGTTTTTGAGTGGTATTAAAGTGTTGTTGGAGTGAGATTGGGGTAGTTTTTGGGTGACATGCATGAATAACCTTTTAACCATCTAAACTTATAGCTGGAAGAATAATGGTTATCTTCCATTTTAAACATGATGCTTAATATTTTCATATCAATCTTTTGTTTTGATCACCTTTTATGAATAGAGCTCTTTTATTAAATATTTTTAGTTAGTAACACCCAACTTATATTTAATTAATTGAACTTTTACATAAAGAATCATATATTATAAATATTATTATTTTGAATTACTCAAGAGAAGTAAATTTTCATTTTATAAAAGCCTAACAAATATGAACATATAAAATCGCACTTTATATATACTTTGTGATGTCATTTACTAATTACAAAAATTGAAATAAAAAAAAACTAATGTCCAATCCTCTGTCTATGAGTTATAGCTTCAAAACTTTTTTGTGTAGTGATTTTGGGCTTATAGCGGTCATGTTCATAGATGATGCTCTACTACAACCTTATTAGTGGTCTCTTGTACCAAATGTTAGATGATCACTTGATTAGTTTGTGTCATAATATGTGATTGTCTGTTCCATAAGTCCTACCTTTTTCGTTAGGTTTGAGCCTCTACCTTATTAGTAAGACTCATCTTAGTATAGTTTCTGAGATGATCCTGTTGGTTTTTTTTTGTAAAATTAACTTTCCAAGGGTGCTTGGTGACTCTCACCGCCAATTGTAACACTAACCTTCTAACAATTGATCAACACAAAGAAAAATTATCAGTTTAATTTATAAATTATGAAGCCCAACTATAGGATAGACTGGAGTAACCACTTAGCCTCCTAATATCTAGTTCTCACTATTCTTGTCAAATAGTTTTTGATAAGAACTACTCCAAATTTAAGCCAATCCAATTTTAAATTCCAATAACAGCCTTTATGTCCACCATTGTAGTCAGCATAAATGATTAGGCACTAAGTTAATCAAGTGTTTTCCTTAAAAATACCATTTCTTAAGATGTAATTGCCTAAAGGCACTCGTCTCTTTTGGGATATTAGATTCAATAATTAAAAAAAAACTATGCCCTTTTAAGATAAAGAAAAAAAATAATTTTGTTGCCCCATGGAGTAGTGAATCAATCACTTTGAGATTAGATCCATTGTAAGGTACTATTTTCATCCCTCGAGGTGATATACTATTCTTTGATGTCGTATTTAATCACAAGTAAGAAATTTTTAAACACATGTATGCCACCCCCCACAGTTCAGACAAATGCAACACATGCTAGGCCGGTGGATCCAAGAAATCCTTACTAAGTTATCTCTACTTGTTTAGGGCTTTTTCTAGATACCATTGGCTACCCCCCTTTGGGCACTTCATAGTCTTTTATTAAGTCCTTGTAACCTTCTTGTAGGCCCTCTTGGTTGAGAGATGAGTCACATATCAGGTTACCGTGTCCACCTTTTGCTCGGTAGCTTAGCTTTTCCTTGACAGTAGGAGGTTTCCCATAACGAGACAATGAAAATAGCCTTGAAATCCTACTTTCAAAGGGTCATATCAAGTGAGCATAACACCCTTTATTGAGAGTCTTTCTGGGCATCTCGTAGGATGTATATGACCACGAGAATACATCATCGTAGGGGGTCTCTTTAAATTTAGTTTAAAATAAATTTGATTTTATCCTATGATTTGGATATGAAGGACTTCTCATATATTAGCTTGGGCTGAGTATGATTTGATTCATTTTTGACCACCCTTCTCTAGTTCATGTTATGAGAATGGTCTTAGAGGATATCTTTGTATCTACTATGTTCAAATTTTTCTTTATATTTGCTTAATTTCTTTCTCACTTTTCCTTATTCTAGCTCTTCTAAGCATATGTTGTTTGGAAAAGAAGTCATGAAAGGGGCAACTATAAAGAGGGTCTCTCCATAAATAAAATGGCGCAAACAACTATCTCATCAATTATACCACAGTTCTTGTTAAATAATAAAGATTTTGATCCAACACATGCTCAAATCTGAACTTGAACTTGATTGACCAACCAATAATAATACAAAACTCCATTTTGTCATGAATCTATGTCTATCTAATAATATCACATCCATAGTTTCAGTTCACTCTAAACGAGTGCATATGAAAAGGTCCAAATTTGCTAATTTTTTTAAAGGAAAGACAATAAGAAGCTTTATAAAGAAGTGTACAAAATATTCAATTTAGTCCAAATCTAATTGTCCAAATAGAGAAGAACCATTCCCAATTTTAGATTGATTTTTCAGTAATATATCTAATAAAAAAATTATAATATAAATCATTTTTATCTGATGAAAATTTGAATAAAAATATTCAAAATCAAAATTCATTATAAAAGTAGTATTATTATCACTGGGTTTTCATTAATACATTTGTTTTAATGTAAATGTAATATTACATTAAATTAAGAAAATGCTTTATTAGTTGAGAAGATGGTAAATTAAAATCAGGATAATTTAAAAATGACTTTTTCTTATGTGTTATTATTTGAACTTTTTAATTTTTTGTATTTTACTTTTCGATCACTGTGAAATAATTTGTAATAATCTTTTTTATATATTGAAAGTTAGGCATTCCCTCAAAATTCCAATATATATATATATATATATATATATATATATATAATTAAGTTCCAATTGCTAAGTAAAGAGCTAATAATAACCATAAATTCAATAAAAATTAAAAACACGACGATCCACAAAAAGATCGTTTTTCAGTGTTTCCGGTCCGTTGACAACCCCATCCCGTCTTCCTCGTTGCTTCAAACTCCAGAGAGAGCAGATAGAAAAAGAAGCTCCTTGGAGAAAAAAAGGATGTCAACCACCTCCTCCTACCCACTTCGCATTTTTTTAAATCATGAAATTAAGTTTAATTCCCCCCACCTCCTTCCCAAACCCTACCCATCTCCTTGCTCCCGTTTTAAATTTGGGAGTAAAACCAGTATTTCGAGATGTTTCGTCTGTTGTAGCAACCGAAAGGCTATCCCCGACTATAAGATGGACTCCGTTGACTCCGTCGACTGCGTCGGCACCGGAAATGACGTCGAATGTTTCGCCTCCGACACGGAACAGCTACTTCCTTCGTCCTCTCCAGCCAACAAATGCGCTGCAAGCTTCGAGATATCCGAATTGGCGGCTAAATCTGATGAAGGATTGGTTGGTAAGGTCATCGACTGGGCGCTCCTGCTGTCGCCTTTCTTTTTTTGGGGGACTACAATGGTGGCAATGAAGGAGGTGATCCCCAAGACGGGGCCGTTCTTCGTTTCGGCATTTCGGCTGATCCCGGCTGGTGTCATATTGATTGGATTTGCGGCGGCAAGGGGCAGGCGGCAGCCGACGGGGCTCCTTGCTTGGATTTCCATCCTCCTGTTTGGGATCGCGGACGGGACATGTTTTCAGGTGGGTTGGTTTACCATATAGCCTTCTATTGTTTTGAAAAGGTTTTATTGCAAACTTTTAGAAGCTTTCTATGTCATCATTGAATTCCCATTGCTCCCGTTAATGGGCTGAACGATTTTTTTCTCCTTTAACATGCAGGGATTTCTTTCCGAGGGATTACAGAAAACAGCAGCTGGATTGGGCAGTGTATGTTCAGAAACCATTTGTTCCCTTAATCATGCAACTGCATAGCCTAATTGATTAAGTGGTAATACATAGTTTTTTTTATTTTTGAATCCTATGTTGTCTTTTTCGGAAATACACTCATCGAGAGTTGTAGCCGGGGAAGGAAGAGGAAAAGAACAGGACAGTTAGAGAAATTCGGGTAGAGAGACTGAGAAAAGTCCCTTTATTCATTTTTTTGCCTATATTTATAGGGGCATATTTGTTCAATTACAGAAGGGAGGGAGAGATTATGGAAACAGCTCTTAATGCAATTAATGCGTTAATTTAATAATAGATTCGTGATACAATTTAGGTATAATATAATAGCTATCAGCCGACCGTCGTATTTAAATTCGATCGACCGAGGTGACCAGTCGCGTGGCGATTGCTTCCGCGAGGTAAAGCCGATCGGTTGAATAGTTATGACCGGACGACTTTGCAAGAAATCTAGGAGGTTGGGACCATAAGCGTGGTCAGCGGATTGGATTCACTGACATCGCGTGTCGGTCGACTCGATTGATCGGTCAGTTGTTGGATGACCGTTTTAGATTACGCTCTTTTAGGCTGACACTTATATTGTCTTGGTCATTGGATCTGTTTTGAGATTCATGCTGACAATTTTGAAGTATACTTATTAGTTCCCCGAGTTTTCTTGCTCCTTAAAAGTGAAATCTACGACAAGGATAGATAAACCATTAAACATTTAGCGACATCAAAATTAAGAAAATTTAATTCAATAATTAAATTCCCTTGGGATTTCGTGACTAGAGAATCCTATAAATAAGACTGTCGGCACTTAAAAGTTGGGGGAGTTGCCCGTAAGAAGCTGTCGGTCACCGGAATCGAAATTTCATTGTCCGCTTCGGAAGGACGTTTAATTTACATATATATATATATACATAAGTTTTAAAAATAATATGAAATCAAGCTGACCCCATACTTTTCACAGTTTAAATGAAAGAGCGTTTTACATCAAATCATGTATCTATCCCAAGAGATAAACATAAGACTTGAGGATGAGACTCGATCAAATAAACTAAGAAATATATGACATCCGTTTGGTCTGCGAAATACCATTTTATTTGCCGACAAGTTCCCCTATTTAATACAAAGAATTAAATAGGGTTTATATTAAGCTGGGTTCG